GATAAAGACACTGGAAGTAACTCACCTTATCTTTTCAATAACTTTCGGAACAGTGAAGTGTAACGTAACAGATTTCAGGTTATCTGACTTATTTGCGCACCAACCAGCTGTCGACAGTGTCGTGGGCGGTACAGATTCGGATGAAGTGATTAGCGATGACACGATCAAAGCCGATGGTGATGGGCAAACTGAACATCAGCAGAAGTCAGAAAGAGTAAGGAAAAATAACAGAGCGAAATGATGTCGAGCATTTGTCACGATGCTGAGTCATGGGTTAAAAATCGATTATAGCTAAGATTTGAAGTTGGATCTCAAGTTCACAGGGCTAGTGTGCCCTCCCAGCCTGGTGATTTCATGTACGGGCCTATATTGAGCAGACTGGTGAGGGCCTTCAGAACGTTAACTGTAGGGAAAGATAGTAGTTATCGTAACAAAATCAGGCCCACTAACCTAACTGCGGCTGGAAGCCGCTCAAACATTGGCAGGTGTATCCTCCAGGTAGATTCACACATTTCGTCGAAGCTTCTTGGCACTGGGCCAAGCCTTCAGCACATTCGTTTACATCACGACATGACGGCACCGTCGACAACGACTGGTTGGCCAAGCATTTCACCTGAGACAGTTAGCTCAAAACAGTTATTATACATGCACACGAGTACGTAAGTACTCATACAAATACAAACTTCACAAGTATACAACCGAATACAGTTGGAATTTGATATTGTATAGACTTTTTGACAAAAATAGGCAGAACAAGAAAAATAGGCTACCTCTTCCGGTCCATCGGCTCGAAATCCTGCATCACAATGTACACGAGAATCCAACTGGAAAGGTTGGGGCAAACTAAGGGTCATTGCCGATTTTTGGTAAGGAAGAGCATGTCAACTCTGAAAATTCGTGGGAATAGTTTGAACTCTTGATTATCTCAACGGCTCTGCCGAGGTTATGTCGTTTAGACAAGAGAAGTGAATCCCGAAGAACTTACTGATGCATTTCGGCTGCTCAAATGACCACTGTCCATCTGTTTTACATAGTAGTGTAGCTGCACCTTCACGTCGGTATCCGGGGCGACACTCAAAACGGAACACTGTCCCATAACCGGTTCCGTCACCGAATTCCAGCCGGCGGTCACCATTTGCAAACGGCAGCAGAGCAGGACACATCGCAGCTAGAATTGTTATTAAATATTTTTCGGTTCGGCTTGGTGGACGCACCAAATAGTACTCAGCAAAAACAGGCACCATTGAAGAAGTGGTTAATTTTGTTTCAGTTTGGTTCTCTTGTGCTACTCTGCAGCTTCACAAGTTTTCAGGTCTCACCAAAGTTATACCTGTTAGTTAACGTGATCTATCAAAAGGAACTAGCGAAAGTGCAAAATGCCCCTCCCCCTTCAGCCGATCAGCGCCACTCTTCCTGTGCGAGATTAACTTTTCACATCCTTCTTAAACTGCTAAAGACAACTACAGCATATCAGCACTTCTGCCGGGGACGATAGCTGACAGCCGGTGGATCCCGCTTCATGTAACTGATAAATACACAACCAATCTTTTTTAATTGACTTATCAACTGATAACGCTCTCTGTCCTCTGACATGTCCTGAAAAAAGTCTTGGCTTTAACACCATGTATTTGCAAAAGACTTTTCCGATGCCGGGAATCGAACCCGGGCCTTGCGGGTGAGAGCCGCAAATCCTAACCACTAGACCACATCGGACCACACACACCAATTCTTCCAAGGTAGCTCTCTTGAACACCACACTAATTGCACCGCTAATAGAGGCGACTCGAGACAGTATGCAAGCGCATCCCCATGGGATGTTTAGCGCTATCTTCACCCGTAGGAATTCTTCCTTTTCAACCAGTATACAACCTTTTCATAGCATGACGCTATGAATCCATGCAATCGCACTTCATGAAGATGGGGAGGGTGTGGCTGCGCATTCCCATTTGAACTAGCCCAGAATCGGTTGTTTGAGGGATATTCCTACTTGTCATCACGTCTTGTGTTCGGCAAATACATGACTGCATTTGTTGCAAAACGGCAATACATCAAAAACAGTCGCCGCCAGGGTCAGAGAAAGTGCATAGCCACGCCCATCCCCAAGATATGGAGGTGGGGTGGTGTGCTTGACCATGAACCACTCGCTAATGTTTGTCTCGAATTCCCATTTTGACAAATTAGACGTAATTACCGGTAATTTGCGCGCCTCTATATATCCCTTGGTTACTTTGTAATCCGCGGAAAATGACACCGTTTGGGAACGTCTCTAAAAGTCAGCAATCGACCTGACACCAGGAAGGCGAGAAAAGATTCCTAATCAGGGCCAGTCGTACGCTGAAGATTCCAGCCAGGAAGATCGCATTCGGTAACTGGAGGAAGGGGTTGTATTTGCTCCTAAGAAAAATATTTCAGTTGTTGACTTTCCTCGCTTCAAGTGCGCTGCATACCAGCAGGATTTCTGCGGCCGAAAAGAACTCGGTAATAGCGTGGGAAATCGGATGGTAGGAGAAAGATAGTGAAAGAGGTGGTACAGAGTGTTGAAGATTTCGGGTAGGCCCGCCAATTAGCATAAGTTTTTTTCGCAAACGAAAGCGAGTGCTCTGATTTCGCTACACCATATGGAATTAACTAATTTGCATTATGGTCTAATAACAGACATTCGCAAAACGATTTTCCGATGCCGGGAATCGAACCCGGGCCTTGCGGGTGAGAGCCGCAAATCCTAACACTTAGACCACATGGAGTGCGTAGGATGTCGCCTCTCACAAGCCTCTGTTGAACAAAGCTCATAATGAGCAGCGCCAGATGTCGGGTGACACAGAATTGACCCACGATGGCAGAAGCTTACCCATCCTTGCACATATGAAATGCCATCTTCGAAATTTTAATCCCGTTACCTCAACTCCATCCAGAAGTGAGTAACAAATCCCAACCTGGACCGGGGATGCCAGAATACGCAGCAACTCGTAGTTGCGCAACATAGTGATGCGGAGAGGGAAGAGGCAGTGCAAAAAGTGTCGCACGCGCGGTACTCGCAGGGGACCAAAATGGTTTTAAATAGAAATGCTGCGGCATGTCGAGACAACTAGCTAGGATACTCCTTAGCTATATTTTCGTGGCATGCTGGCGATGCGGGTGCGACTTTGCTATTTCGTGAGCGATGCTGCGAGTCCGGTGTGCTAATACACCCCAACAGATCGCTGCCCCTTCTTACTGTCCATATCTGAGGGAAAGGAGCACTTCCAGATATGCCAGGACGACGGCTGCTGAGGTTCAGGCCCGAGAAGATTATAAGTATGAAGACTGGACTGTTGGCGTGATAATACGCAACCGTTCCCGAAGGTATTAGGAAACGCCCCTTCCCTCTCTCTCTGGTATGAAGTGTATCTCTCTGCTGGTCGATACAGGAGTACTACTGCAAAGGCGTAGGCAGGGCAGACGTGTTATTACGCCAGTGAAAAACACCCACAGTCACAATTAACAGCAATTAGATCAGAGGTACAAATAAATTGATAAATATGAGGAACGAACCTCTACAACTTGGTGCTGGCGTCCAGTTACCATTTATACCACAATGGATTTCTTCTATAGAATTGCCGGATGAGAAGGAGAAGCCTTTGTAACAGGAATACTTGGCAACACCACCAAACGAAACGTTTGTCGCTGACTCCGCGTAACCATTCGCAATTTGTGGCACAGCCGAGCAATAAACCGCTAAAAATGTTGCAAAATTTGGACCACTCATAGATACAACACTTGTGGGTTAGGAAACTCGTATTACTCAAGTCACTGTGAGACCTGAGGTATTCGTATTACTCAAGTCACTGTGAAACTTGGGGAATTAATCTTACGTTGACAAGTTGGGAGAGTGTTTTCCGTCCATTTGCCTCCCAATTGACAGTGCACATCGAATGCTCGTCCTCGACCAGAAGCGAACTCAAAACCAGGAGGGCAAGAGACCACGACCTGGAAATGTTAAGAAGATGAGTTTCCATTTTGAGGGCAAATTCCTCGACAACTCAAAAGATTTGAGGCTATGAAAAGGGGATGGCTCTGTCGGTTGATAACTTGGTACCAGCCTTGTGTCAGAAACTTCTAAGGCAGAGGTATTAAGGCGTAAGCTGCTGAAGCGACTACCCTTAATCACAACCAACTCCGCCCATAGTTGATAGTTCGCTGATTTGCATGCTTCACTCCGATAATATTCCCTTCTGCTATGTAAAAAGAAAGGGTCAATCAACGGCGTTCTTGACGACTCCTTTGATATTTTTTTTCTCAGATTCTCTTTTCTCTAAATTCAATCAGC